GATGAGTTTGAGAAATTGAATAGAAAGGTGGCGAACATTACTGAGTTGTATATGCAAAAAAGGGCTGCAAGGGAGGAAGAGGCGAAGCGGAGGGAGGAAGAAGATAGGCGAAGAGAGGAAGAAGAAAGGCAAAGGGAGGAAGAAATGAGGCGAAAGGACGAGGCATTAAGACTTGTCACTAGTGATGTTGAAAGCCTCAAATTTCAGATAAACTCCCTCTTAGCATCTGGTGCATTTCCTGTGCCCCGTTCTCCAGTATCTGATGATAACTAAGGAGTAGTTTCTTTTATTAGCTTGTCTTGGATGGTACCTGGATGTTGAATGTTGAATGTTGGATTTTTTGAGTTTTTGTTCTACTTTCTGATTAGTTGGATATTGATTATGAAAAGGATTGATTAGTTGTTGTTTATAAAATGAATTGGATTGCATGCTGAATTTGGTATTTGAATGCTTAATTGTATTTAGTCTTGTATTGTTGGTTGTACTTTCTGTTTGGCGGGTGGTGTAGTTCTAAAAACAGATTTGGCCATGAAAATATTCCGATTTCCCACTGACTCCGTGAGAATTTTGTGCATATTTTTTCCAGAATTTGTTATGAATATTTCCCACTGCTTTCGTGGGTAAAAAAAAAGAGTATCTAAATTATTTTTAATAATTCCCACAGATTCAGTGGGAAACTTAAGAAAATTAAATTATTATATTTTCTTACTTTTCCCACGAAGTTCGTAGGAAATTACACTAGTGACCCCACCAAGTTTTCGTCAACCATTTTCCCACTGAGCGTCTCCACTGGGAATGTCGTGGGAATATTAAATTTTCACACAAATTCCCGCCGATTCTTCCGTGGGAAAAGTCTGTATTTCTAGTAGTGCTAAGTGATCGCATAGTTGTCAGATTTGTTAGCCTAATCATTATCTTCAACAGTAATCCCTTCAACAAAAATTGAAAAAGAAAAAGAAAATACTTTATTTGCTTCAAAGAAGCTACTAAAACAAACAGTAGAGGAATTGCTAAGTACACAAAATTATCTGAGTGTCATATATACATATTAGAAGTTGATGACCACATAAAGAGTTAAAATATTATAGTGAGGCTTAAGCTAGTGGGAGAATTGTTTACTAGTAGTAGTCAGCTAAATATACTAAAACTAAAAGTACAATGGAGTTAGCTACCTCCTTTAAGTAGTTTTCATGTATGTCAAAGCACAGAAAGGGTGGGAAGGGTGGGTAGATAAGATAAGGCAATACTTTTTTCCAAGTCTTTAGCTTTTACTACTGTTTGGTTTTTTCTTTTGACCAGACCTCTTTTCTAGAATTCATCGTCATTTTAAGGTGATGCCAAGGTTGTTTCCCATCCTTTCAATAATTTGTTCCTTGTCAATATTCAACTTTATTAAAATTAAAGTTATTTCCCTTTCTTTCAAAGTAATCATCATTACGTATGAATATTGATTGAAATAATCCTAAATTTTTAAGAAGCTAAAAATGGAACATAAATCATGAAATATAAGAAAATGATAATTCTACCATGAGGATCTCATGTGTGGATTCGTCAACAAAAGAACAAATCAGTAGAACATTTCCCTTCAATATTTGCTAGCTACGTGAATGATGAAAATATGGAATAAAATAAAGAGGAGATTTTCACATTATGTTAATTAAACTTATATTGGATTGAGAACAAGAGTACTACCACTATTGCTACATCGGAATGATAGAAGAAAAAAGTCAACATTTCAACTCTATAATTATAGAAGAAAAGATTCTCTTTTACCAGGTCTAACTTTGGTCTACAGTATTTTTATTGGTATAATAACATGCAATTTGTGCCTAACTTAATCTAAAGCTAAGGGTTTTGCTTCGTTGGGGTATGTCGGACTAATAGATATACATAGGGTTAGGGTAATAGCACGGGAGTACAAATTATCATGGCACACGCACCCAAAATAAAAAATAATTTTTTAAATAAAATATAGTCAAAATCTTGCCGCAATTCTAGCGCCATTTGGGAGGACGTTTCATTGGATTGAGTAAAGAAATGGAACAACCTTCAACTCTAATCAAAGAGGTCAATTATATAATTTAATTAATTTAGTTGAACGTACGATTATTTAGATAAAGGTGCTTAGGTTAAAGGTCAAAGAAAGAGTTCCTTTTTGTGTTGATACAAAGACAAAGTCATAAAGACGTGAATTATTTTAAGGGCTGGGCATTTACAATATGAGATGGTCTACTTGTCCTTAATTTTTTTTCACTTTAGGACAATAATATCTCATGGATACATATTTTAAGAAATAAAAAGATTTCGATTATAGTTTTATGTATATATTTTTTAATACAAATAAACTTTTTTGCCGCATAATTATGAGAATGCCTACCCACGACAAAATTTTAGATAGCATTCTAACTAAAAGAAGGAATAAGGACCCTAAGGACCAAAAATGAGATCGACATGGTCCTGAATTTTTATTTCCAGTTATTCACTGATGTTTAGGTTTGGAAATCGGTTTCATACTTCAAGTCATTTTAAATAGATCTTATCCACGTATTCAATTCTCAACGAGTCGGTCTTCTTGGACAGATGTCCATCCCCGTATAATACTAGGGTGTAAAGAAAATGCTAGTGTTATTCTACATATATACTATACTATTATTCACTAGGGTAAAAATTTTAGATCAACATTGACCTTTTAAAAGTTATACAACATGTCGTAAAGGTCATGGGCCATGTTATTAATTGGTTTTTGGGTATACTTTTTGTAGATTCGTTTTACCCTTGTTTCATAAGTATACGTTTGTAGATTCGACTGCAAAGTTTGGACCATAGGACAAAAGTAACTAGAGGGCTAAAACTCCCGATAGTATACCAACAAAAAAAATAAGGAGCCAAAGACTAAGTCAAACGTGGTCCTGAAAAACCTTTTTTCCATCACTCGCCGATATAAATTTGATTCATACTTGAATCCATTTTAATCAATCTTGTCCACTGACTCCATCCATACAAAATCTCGACGAGTCGGACTTCTTCGCAGATGTTGTATCCTCTTTTCCTTGCTAGATTATTACAAAGTGATACTTTTTCCAACATGTATACTATTCTTTTTCCTATTTTTTTTTTCCAACATGTATGCTAGCTATTCTTCGTTGGGTAAAAGTTCTACACAATTAACAGCTTTAAAATCTAAGATCTGTTACCACTATAGAAATGAATAGACACCATAACGATTGTGTGCGACGAATAAGATTCTTTCACCATTAATTAGTAGTTTCACGTTGAACCCCTGAGAATTAATGAAAAATAAGTAAAGTACTTCTTTCTTTAATGGGCCTTATAGGGAATAAATCTGATTAGTCAGATATAGATACCGAATATCTAATGAGAAAGCGGAGGAAGAAAAAAAAAAAAAAAAGAGGCACGTGAGGCGCACATTGTGGGAAAAAAGAAAGAGAATGACGTGGGTTGCTAATCAGCAAGAAAACAAAGAGGGACAGCTACGAAGGGAAGGGAAAAACCAAAGAGCAGCGCCCACGTGCCAAGTACATGTGTCGGCTACGGTCAAATGCCGGTGCCAAGTAGGGACGCGTGTTTCAGTACCCAACTAAGTAGCTGTTATACTCCGTTCCAAATGCCCAAATGTTTGACTCAAATAACTACGGAACGGACCGGACCGGGACTGTCTGTTGCTAATCCCAATCCTTTTTGCTGTTCAAGTTCTCCACTCTTTCCCACCCCTCATTCATGCTGATAATAGCTTATTATGGGGTTTTCTCCTTTTTTTGCGATTAAAATATAATATATTATTATTATTATTATTAATGTATTATAGATGAACAATGTATGTTTTTGATAAAATTTGGTTCGATAGAATATCGAGGTTTAGTTAAAAACTTAAAATTGAAGCTATATTGATAAAATAAAAAATTGGCGTAGCTGGAGGGAACTTCAGGCATAATTAGCAATATTTGAAGAAAAATAACAACTTTCATTCTGACAATTTCAACAACATTCTTCTCATTGACTCTTATTACGCAAGATATAACGTAAAAGAAGAGACACTCCATTAACATTCAATATACTATTTGACAATAATTTCAACATATATATAGTTAAATAACTTTCTGACTGGTTCAACATCATTTCTCAAGTCTCAATATCACTATTACTTACATATATATTTATCAAACACATTAAATAGAATTGAAGTTATATGCAATGACTATGTAAGGAATTTCTTTACCTTGTCAACGTAAATGAAGCTATAATATATAACAAGTTAATAATACCATTTTGAAAAATAAAATTTATTTGGAATCACCTTTTAAATGATGAAATGATTGCATACATATGGTTATTTATAGTGCATAAAATTTATCAAGAGACCCTAATCTCTGTATATTTGAAAAATATGCATCGAGTCGTGAGTCATTCATCTCCGTTCCAAATCAACAAACTTGTATTCGTCCTTATTTCTGCTTTAACAATAGTAGAACAAGCTGTAAAGCAAATTAGCTTTCAATAATATACGTATTGTTCAGTAAAAAGAGACAGGAACTTGGTATCTGAGGGTGACAAATTTGACCACATTTCATTTTCAGTGTTAAACAATAAGTAGATAATTACCACAACCTACTACCAAAATTTAGTTCGAACAATTATCACCTTTTCTTTTCATTAATAATCATCGTAGTTTCAAAGTTTTCTTTTTTTTTTTTTTTTTTTTTTTTTTTTTTTTTGTTAACTACGTAGTAGTATGTAGTTAAAGAAAGTACAATTTACCTTAAAACAATACTTTAAGAAAGAAAAGAAAAATTCCAATCCAATGTAAAGAAAAATAAAGGAAAATGCTTATGGTAGATGCTCATAGTGACAGATGACTAGACCCTAACAATGAGACTTAAACTTTGTCAAACCTTCTTTACAGAAGTGGGGTCTACATTGTATTATCAAAACTTATAAATATAATCTCTTTTCACCATTTAAAATTAAAATAAGATAAAAATAGACCTTAGCAAAGCTAGCTCAAACCAAAATCTTCTTGTCAAAGTTTAAATACAAACACATTATCAACCTCTTGTCAAACCCCAACCTCCCCTCCCCCTCCCCCAAAAACTCCCTTTTCTTCTTCTTCTTTTTCCATGGCTGATGAACTAAGAGATTTCTATTATCACCAGCCATTTCAAGAAGATATTAGGCTTGGTTATAATAATCTTTATTCTCAAACTAGGGTTGGAGATAGTAATGATTCTTCTACGGTTCAGAATATACATATGCTTGATCCTTCTTTTATGAGCTATACTCATGAGTATTTACATGGATCAAGTAGTGATTATGCTAATTCACTTGGAAAACCCTTTGGATTTTCAGCTCCATCTACACCCTCTGATCAGGCATTTTCTTCTATTATCAATAAAGATCATGATGTAAAACCTGTTTTGGATGTTATTAATAATAATGATGTTATTGTTGGAGGAGGAAGTGAAACTCCAGTTACACCAAACTCTTCAATCTCTAATTCTTCTTCCAATGAAGCTGCTGGTGATGATCAGGATTCAAACAAGAATACTAATAATACCAAGAAAGATAAGGAAGTGAAGGAAAGTTTAGAAGATGGTGAAGATGCATCTAAAAAAGAGTATGTACTTGAATATTTCATACTAGTACTTGTGTTTTTCTTCTAATTTCTTTATGAGAAAAGTTTAGCTGCTTTTTTTTCCCTTTCTATTTTTTTGATGGGTTATTTCATGGAAATGATGATAAATAGGAACAAAGCAAAAAAGAAGGAGAAGACACAAAGGCCACAAAAATTTGCATTCATGACAAAGAGTGAGGTTGATCATCTTGAAGATGGATATAGATGGAGGAAATATGGACAGAAGGCTGTTAAGAATAGCCCTTATCCAAGGTGATTTTTCCCTCATTTCTTTAAAACCCTAATAAAACATGTAGTTCTCTTCTATCAAGAGTTCATACTATAAGGTAGTCAAATATATAGTATTTAACTAATGATATTGTTAGCCAGCCTTTTCTTTTTCTTAGTCCACATGGTTATCAACTAGTTAAACTGAAATAGGACTATACATAAAGATTGTGTTCCCACTTCCCACTTTCCACTTTCCTAAGTTATGTTTCTATTTTCTTGTAGAAGAAAGCTGAGATTCTAAGTTTTAGACTGGTCAATCTTATTCTATGAACAATCGGAATTCTATACTTCTATGATATCCTTCCTAATTGTGGTAAATGTTCAATCTTTCCATCTCTCACTACCATCATGATCTTCTCCTGTAAGGCGAAAGCATTAGTCTTTTTTTACAATGTTTAACATATAGTTATAGTTGAACTATATATGTTATCATAAATTTCCTTTTTAGGTTTTGATCTAGAATATGTCATAATAGTACTCTTGTTATTTGTGATTGTAGAAGCTATTATAGGTGCACAAGTCAAAAATGTCCAGTAAAGAAACGTGTGGAGAGGTCATATCAAGATCCATCAATTGTAATCACAACATATGAGGGTCAACACAACCATCATTTGCCATCTACTCTACGTGGAAACGTTGCTCGAATGTTGAATCCTTCCATGTTAAGTTCACCTTCGCCATTAATGGCGGCGCCACAGGCTTTTCATCAACAACTTATGAATATGGCACAAATGCCTCATCAATTCTATGGCAGTAGTGGTTTTGGCATTAATCCCCCTACGAACAGCAGCTCCAATATGTATAATCAAAATGTAATAACTCAACATGAGCTTCATCAACAGCTGCAGTTTTCTCCTGACTATGGACTACTCCAAGACATGGTTCCCTCTATGTTTCTTAAACAAGAGCCATGAGAGTCTTGAGGCTTTGAGACTCTTGTGCTCTAGCTCTAATAATTTTATTAACCCTACTTGAACCTTATTTATTTATAGCTTATTTTTCTTTCTTTTTTTGGTTTGTAAGATGTAGTGTCTAGTAATTTAGAGATGTAGATGGACCATGAATCGATCTCTTACTTATGATCTCATATATTTAGTACTTTCACATTATATATATCTAATTTTCTCTTCTTTGATATTGCATAGATTATCTTTTGAATTCTTTTTTACTTGAGGTGTTTCTTTTATTGGAGGAAGCAACGAGTCTTCTTTCCTCTTGAGGTGGATTTGATCAACATTTTATGAGGTAATTAAATTAAAGCATGAATTCCTTATCATGTTGGATTTGTTTGAATCATCTTATGCAATATATGTGCATTTTCACATGTAGAGATGACCAAAAAAAGTTAAGAGTACTTGATGTTAAAGCTTTGCTTGTTAGAATATTTTGCTCCTATATGAAAAAATTGTTAATTACATATTTAAGACGATATCAACTGACTGTAAGCTAATAATTTGATTTACGTTCTTATTGGAAATAGAACAAGTCATCAATTAGCTTTTCTAAAGAAAGTTCTATGTATAAAACCCCTTTTTAAGGAAGATTTTGCAAAGCAATGACTATCCATTCATTTAAACTCATTTTATGCAAGGTAATATTTGTTGAATTAGCCAATCACGTGGTTTGACCGCAGTTCTCTTTCTCCTCCTTTTCGATGGCAAAAGGACTTTCTATAATTGATGTGATATGTGAGGGGAAGGGTATATGAACTTTAGTGATAATTCTCATTTCCATTTAAATATATTAGTAAGACTTTAATTATTTTATGATAAGCTGTTTGTTATTTTTTCTAGTATGGAACAGATTCTTGGACTCGTTTAAACGTTACCCTTTTGGCCTTTACATGTCTGGAATTAAGACATGAGAAAAGAATGATTCATAATGATTTCGTAAATATATTCATGAGTTCACAAGAAATAGGGTATAATGATACTTGTTGGATGACTAAACTGACATTTATGAAGAAGAAAAAAACCTATTTAGTTAAATGCATTGAAATTCAAACTAAATGGGCGCTTTAATATCGAACGTTAGTTAGTTAACAGCCCCATGGAATCAAAGAAACCTTCATTTAATTTCTTTGATTATATATATATACTCCAAAAATACTAACGTCGTGTGAAGAAAAGCAAAAGTCAAAGACACCACAAAACAAAAAGGTAACCAAAAATTTCGGCTGCCTTTCATGGGAAAGGCTCAACGGTCAACCAATGGTTATTTGACTTAACTCTCTCTCTATATATATATATATATGTTCAAAACTAAGTTCATAAAAATACAAGTTCCAGCAGAAGTTTAGGCAAACATTTGTTTTTCATAGAAACTTTTCCGTAAAATATTAGAAAGTTTCCTTGTTTGTTTTTAGCTTAACGAAAGAATCATTCGAAATATATTACTCCACTGTTTGGTGTGAAAGCACTGGAGTTTTCGTGAAAAACAATGGTCTTATTCCATTATATTGTTTCGGTCATATATACTGCTAGTCGAGTACACACTGTTCATATTGACACCTTTGGTTTTAGAGAATGCTTGCAATTTTAATAGTTAGTCCTCTGTCTTAAAAAGCAGAATTGAGATTCGCCCGGGGCTCGTCCCAGGGCGAAGCACTCGTAATGGGGCTTAGATCCGTGAGACTTACGCCTCGGCCGTTGGGGTTTACGTTCCGGACACGCCCAACGTCAAATGTACTGGGCTCGCCTAATAGAACTTTATGCAATTGCGTGTAACTAACCTTGTAAATCCTCAAATTTTCTTAATAAATCGTTGACTATTTAAAATTACTTTTTTTTAAAATCATAAATCATTAAGTTGAGACTATTTTATGTCATAATTAAAATAAAAATTATTGCATGTTATCCACTAAGACTGCTACGATAGTAAATTTTAATAAATCTTTCATTTAAAAAGTATTTATCTATTAACTTTTGTTATGTCTTTATTATATAATAGTCCATAACTTTTTATAATTATTTTTCTAAATATTATTTTTTCACGTTTACGAGATACAATATTTATTAATTTAATAGCTCAGTATTATCTAGTAACTATTTACAAATAATTAGTTATCATGGTATTGTATGGTGAATTATGTGTCACTTTATTAACTTGTTGAAATTTAAAAATAAATGATGCTAAAGAATCGTATTTAAATTGTGAATTATGTTTTTATATAAATTCTCTTTCAAATAGAAAGCATATTAAATAAAAGGAGTATTTCAAAAAATCAAATTATAATATCGAAATTCATTCAGGATTCATTACTCCTTAAGAGATACATATAAGATTTTATATCGAATACATTACTTTTGATGTTTGAGTTGTAAGACGTTGCAGCTAATTTGCATATTATGATATATGACATACTTTTCGTATTATTCATAGTTGAATTATAATTCATAAATAATTAAATAGATTATTTGTTATATTTTGTGATTTTAATGTAGTTTATTAATTATTTTTAATTTTATACTATTTTAAAAATTCTTAAAATTAATAAAATTTAAAGATCCGTGGGACTTACGGCCCATGTCTCAGGACTTACGTCTCGCCTCGTCAGAGGTAAAACGCCTCGCCTCACGCCCCGCCTTTTACAACATATTAGTTACTTATTCAATAACGTTTAAACATCCAATCCACATCATCAAAAGACAATGAGTGGACTGTTTTTGATCTGTCACTCTAGAAATAATTAGTAGAGATAATAATCTTAATGAAGTAATTTGGCTTTCATAAAAAGTGAAAATTATTTTGATAATCTATAACGTATCCAAAACTTTAAGGTAATAAGTGGAATAATCCACAATATATATCAATGTGGAATAGATTCTCTAACAAGACCAAATTATAAAATCTCTCTAAGAAATACAATTTGAAATTTAGCTTTAAATTTCTTGTTGATTTTTAGTGGTTGTTTTTTTTGAATTGGACGTACAAAAATGAGACTGATCTTTCCTTTCATGGAATTAAATGTTTAGGTATATTATGTAAGACTAAGTTGACACCAATAATTCTCCCATGAAAAAACTACATCATAAGTATTTCTTTTTGTACGCAGGACTTAATATTTGGATTCAAAATTAAATATAATATAATTGCAGATGGGGTATCGGTTTGAGTGAATCAAACATTGGCTGACAATTGACATAATATTGAAGATGTCAAATACTATTAAATTAGGTGAAGCACATGGAAACACTCTAAAAAGTCAAAATTCAAATAGCATCCGCCAGATCAGGCAAAATTGGAATTACTATGAAGATCCAAACAGAACAGTGGTCAATTTTGTTATTATTAGTATTAGTATTTATCGATAGAGAGAATAATTGACCAGCGATATCATAGATTTGGCATGGGCAATACATTAAAGTATTACATATGGTAGGAAAAAATATATTAGCAGAAGCACAAGGCATTTGTTTTTTCAAGATTTGGCAACTGACTACCAGATGACAATACATGTATCATGAGAAGATAATTGCATTCATCCTCCCACGCAATTCTTATTACTATTAAGACCTTTTATTGATTTGGGGTAAATATCGGGCACATTAATTTTTTATCTAGAAACTACCTCTTTAAAAAAGTTTTTAGCTCATTAGTGTTCATTTGGAAATATCAGATGGTAATTAAAGTACACTTATAGATTTTATTCTTCCGTATTATAGCTAGTATGGTGCTGATATATTGTCTCTTCTCGTCTTTTCGGTCTTCTTGAGCCTAGTGTCTATCGTAAATAGCCTTTCTGACCATCGGGGTAGGGGTAATGTCTGCGTACACACTACCCTCCTCATACCCCACTTGCGAGATTTTACTGGGTCGTTGTTGTTGTTGTTAACATCATCAAACTCCATTATCGAGCAAAAGAAGTTAAGAGAAAACCCCTTAAGGTTTCTAAAGATAGAGAGAGAAGAGAGAGAAAGTCGGTTAGTCTAGAACATTCAACTGGCTTATTACAAAATATATCCAAAATATAACTAAAAATAGCTAAAGATCTAATCACAGAACTGTGGGCTTGATGGGCTGGCGGGCTGATTCACTAATGGGCCGTGCAGTTTTTGCTTGTGTTGGGCCTTGGACTGTAGTACCAATGTTAACACCCCCCTCAAGCTGGAGGGTGAAAACACACCAAGCTAGCGAAGAATACCATACTGAGGCTGCCCAGTAAGGCTTTAGTCATGATGTCAGCGAGCTGGGCAGAACTCGGAACAAAATGTAAAGAAATAAGTCCAGAATTCAGACACTCACGTACATAATGATAATCAATTTCTATGTGTTTGGTACATTCATGGAAGACATGGTTCTTGGCTATGTGCTGTTGATACCCAATTTTTCTCTATGTCTTTTTTTTATACTCAAATACTTTCAAAATCGCATGTGTATGCATATATAAGCATGCCCAAGAGTTTTGGTATTTTTCCCTAATTTTCAAGATTTTTAAAATCAATTTATTGTCTATTTTAGCAGTACAAAATCCAGTAATTGCTCTCAAAATTATCATTTTTGTGAATAATTTATTTCCATTCTCATATTTACACCAAAGTATAATTAAGGTGATTTTTGCATATTTTTACAAATTTATTTGGTATTTTTTGAAAGCTAATTGCATATAGTTGCAATTATAACCTATTTTACGATTAATAGCATTTTACAATTATAAATCATTTTCAGTATTTTTAGATTAATTTTTATATATTATTAATTAGTTCAGTGCTATAAATTTGTTTTTAAAATTATTTAACTATTTTATATAAAATAAAAGGGGAAAATTAGCTATTTAACACATAGCCCATTATTGTTTCAATTTAGCCCTAATTTAACCCCACCACATCGGGTTTAATTAAACCCAAATTGACCCAAAACCCAACCAAATTCGCCCCAGCCCAATCCCTAAACTAACCCGGCCCAACTCCGAACTAATCTAAGCCGTTGATCAAATAAGATCAACGGCCCAAATCCCTTTTCCTTAATTAAACTCTCACCTACCCCCCCCCCCCGACCCCTCACTTTTCGAGACCGGTCTCTCTCTCTATCCGTCTCTTCCTCTCCCCTTTCTCTCTAGAACCTTCTGGTTCTTCTTCTCCGATGGCCTTCACCATCTCTCCGGCCACCTCCAGACTCGCCTCTTTCGACCACCAGCCGCCTTGAAGCCTTGTCTCACC